AATCGGAGGCCTCTCTTAAAAAAACAACAACCATAGTCGGTCACAGTTCAGGGTCAGAGGTTACCCTCTTAAAGTGAAGGAGCCTAATATGACAACACCTACATGCTGCTAAGACATTTAAACTTTTTAACACAGAAGTTACATAATATCAGAGCTTTATTTGCCAGGTATGTGTGCACATACAAGGAATTTGACTCTTGATTGTACATTGCTACAGTGTAGAGAACACATATTTACACACTATAAACAACAACAATAAAGAAAGACTGAGACAATAGTGCAATGAGCAGAGTGCAAAGGATGCAGGAGTAAATTATTATTACCATTATTATGTACATGCTGGAGGTGGATGTGATATACAGGTACACATACATGAATACATGTACACAGTGCGATGGAGCATAGGGCAAAGGATGCAGGATTGAATAAGTATTATGTGCAGGTGTTATGTACTTGAGGTAGGTGGGTTTGGTAAACAGTATATACAATATGACAATATAGCAGTATGAACAGCGTGACCAGCACTGAGATAGAGAATGATGAATAAATAATAATTGGTAACCAGTAAACAGGTGGCTATTAGAGGCAGAGGAGACAGAGTGCGGGGGGCTCCTCCTGAAGGCTTCGATCATCTCCACAGTTTTGAGCTTCAGGAGTTTGACAGATGGGTCTCCTGAGGTGCAGTCGTTGGTGTAGAGGGAGAAGAGCAGTGGGGAGAGCGCACACCCCTGGGGAGCGCCACTGCTGATAGTCCGGGTGCTGGATGTGAGCTGCACAGTGAGCTGGGTGAGTTTGGTGCTGAGGATTTCTGAGATGATGGTGTTGAACGCCGAGCTCAAGTCTACGAACAGAATCATGTGTCCCTGGAGAGTCGAGGTGTTGCAGGATGTAATGCAGACCCAGGTTGACAGCATCATCCACTGACCTGCAGAGGGTCAAGCAAGGGGCCTGTAATGTCCTTCAGGTGGGCCAACACCAGTCTTTCAATGGACATCATGACTACAGATGTCATGTCGACAGGCCTGTAGTCATTTTATCCAGAGATGGAGGGTTTTTTGGGGACCGGGATGATTGTGGAGCGTTTAAAGCAGGAGGGAACTTCACACAGCTCCAGTGAACTGTTGAAAGAGATTTTCAAGATGGAGACACACCGTCTGGCCCATATGTACAGTATTTTATGCATATACTCCTCACCGGGGGGGGGTCCACTGGGGTAGCCACCAATTTTATTAGGGTGGCCGTGGCCCTCCCTGGTAGCACCACTGGATGGGACAAACATTTTATGATCAATAGCTTCCTTTTGTGCATTTGTAGCGCCTCCTAGAGGTCAATTTGAATGAGACTTGCAGTGTATGTGTGAGGTCCTTATCTAGACATATCCTGCAAGTTTTGTGTTGATTGGACAAACAATTTGTATTTTGTAGCCTGATTTGTGTTTTACCCCCTGCAGTTTGTTTGCATTTATAGCGCCCCCGGGTGTTCGATTTGAATGAAACTTTCAGAGAGATTTGTGATGATTGGAGAATGACTATGGGATTTATAGTGTAATTTGTGTAATGCTAAGCACCTTTCTTGCGCTTGTAGCGCCCCTAGGCACGTATGTACATCAAACTGTTCAGGTATATCTATGTCCAGAGCCACGCCCCTTACAAAGTTCATTGGTCCATATCTTGAAAAGTAATTGAGATATCGACATGCTTTATACAACTTTTAATAGGCTTGATCCAATGATGATTCACTGAAAATTTGGTGGCAATTGGAGCTACGGTCTAGGAGGAGATGTCAAAAATGTGATTTTCAAAAAATTCAAAATGGCGGAAAAGTTTTATAGGCGGACCTTAATGGTCCTTGAGGCTTTTTTGTAGAGCACATTGAGCTGCACCTGTGTGAGAAATTTCAATCAAAAGTCAATCGGACTTACTGTGTAAGGGGCGTGGCCTTTCAAAGTTTCCATTTTTAAGCCTTAATTACAGCGCCACCATGTGGCCGATTGGGTTCATATTTCTATGGAAGCTGATGCACACCATTTCCAGTTATTTGCCCAAGTTTCATGTTTCTAGCTCATTCCAGCTCACGGGAATTTGAGCCGGCGCGGCAGACAACAAATAATAATAATAATAATAATAACTAAAACACTCAAACATAGAAGGGTTCTACTGCTACGTGGTATGAACTCTAATTATAGGACAATACAAGTGAGATTAATTTTAAAAATAATTCATATTAAGTAACGAGAAAATGATGTTTGGATGTTGAAGGTGTAAATGAGAATGAATCTGCTACTTATCAACAAATATATGCACGATTACTAACAAGGTGAATTTGCTTTCCATTCAGCAAGAATGGACTAACAAAGCTGAGTAACCAAGAGTGTGAACTGGGTAGCTTCTGAGTACGTGTGACGGCCCCGAGAGGTCTTGGTGTTGGGCCTCTGTACTGTATACTGTCTGTGTGTTTCTCCCTGCAGGCAATTAAGGAGATTGGGAGCACCTGGCCGGTGAGCCCAACCTATTTAGGCCCGCCCGCCCAGACGCCAGTGTTGGTGCTTGTGCCTCCACATTGCTCTGCCTCTGTTCTCTTCTTTCGGATTAGTTTAAATAAATTTATGTTAATTTTGTTAAACCTGAGTTGCATCCTCCTTCTTTGTTGCGGCCTGAGAGCCGGGCTCGTACCCATGGCGGAAAAATGCTATAATATATGCATATAACAAAATAGACAACAGGTGGAAATTATAGGCAATTAGCAAGACCCCCCCCAATATAGGAGTGATTCTGCAGGTGGTGACCACAGACCACTTCTCAGTTCCTGTGCTTCCTGGCTGATGTTTTGGTCACTTTTGAATGCTGGCGGTGCTTCCACTCTAGTGGTAGCATGAGACGGAGTCTACAACCCACACAAGTGGCTCAGGTAGTGCAGCTCATCCAGGATGGCACATCAATACGAGCTGTGGCGAGAAGGTTTGCTGTGTCTGTCAGCGTAGTGTCCAGAGCACAGAGGCGCTACCAGGAGACGTGGAGGAGGCCGTAGGAGGGCAACGACCCAGCAGCAGGACCGCTACCTCCGCCTTTGTGCAAGGAGGAGCAGGAGGAGCAGCTGCCAGAGCCCTGCAAAATGACCTCCGGCAGGCCACAAATGTGCATGTGTCTGCTCAAACGGTCAGAAACAGACTCCATGAGGGTGGTACGAGGGCCCGACGTCCACAGGTGGGGGTCGTGCTTACAGCCCAACACCGTGCAGGACGTTCGCCAGAGAACACCAAGATTGGCAAATTCGCCACTGGCGCCCTGTGCTCTTCACAGATGAAAGCAGGTTCACACTGAGCACATGTGACAGACGTGACAGAGTCTGGAGACGCCGTGGAGAACGTTCTGCTGCCTGCAACTTCCTCCAGCATGACCGGTTTGGTGGTGGGTCAGTATTGGTGTGGGGTGTGAGGAAGGCATTGATGCTATGGACCGGCCCGCCCGTTCCCCAGACCTGAATCCAACTGAGCACATCTGGGACATCATGTCTCGCTCCATCCACCAACGCCACGTTGCACCACAGACTGTTCAGGAGTTGGCGGATGCTTTAGTCCAGGTCTGGGAGGAGATCCCTCAGGAGACCATCCGCCACCTCATCAGGAGCCCAGGCGTAGGGAGGTCACGTGGAGGCCACACACACCACTGAGCCTCATTGTGACTTGTTTTAAGGACATTACATCAAAGTTGGATCGGCCTGTAGTGTTTTCCACTTTGATTTTGAGTGTGACTCCAAATCCAGACCTCCATGGGTTGATAAATTTGATTTGCATTGATAATTTTTGTGTGATTTTGTTATCAGCACATTCAGCTATGTAAAGAAAGGAGTATTTAATGAGATTATTTCATTCATTCAGATCTAGGATGTGTTATTTTAGTGTTCCCTTTATTTTTTGGAGCAGTGTATGTTCGAAATGTTTAGGAAGTTAAGATGTGAGCTGGCATGTGGATTTTTCCCCTCAACAAGTATTAAAGGGTTTTTGAAACACTGCCAGTTTAGTAAGGGAAGTCGTGGTCCCCTGAGTTTCAGTGAATACATGTGCATTTTGTTGAATGCTGCAAATGTTTCAAGTGTTCTGAAAGTGAATCAGTGATGTATTTGTGGGGGCCTTATGCAACATGTTTGACAACTAAATTATGAATAGTTAAGCTTAATTCTAAGATTAGTAATTAGACTGCTTATTAGATAATTCATTTAGTCATGTAGTGGAGCAAAGAATAAAAATAACCATTCTTGAAATTTACCTTTTGGTTTAAGAGTTAAAAAGCAAATGTTTACAGTAAAGATTGAAGTAAGCTATTAATTTAATTGTGGGAGGATCCTGAAAAAAGTTGGGATTTCTGTAACACTCCACTTTTGGTCAGACAAAAAGTATGTACATTCATGCCTAGACACTGAAATTAACTTTTAGTTGTTTATATAACAAAAATTCAAGTCTAATTTTTGGACAAAGGCTGGACAAAAGAGAATTCCAGGAAATTGGTTGGGAATGTCCAGGCTTGTAGCCAGTACAAAAGCACCATTATATAAAGACTTGATTTTATCACTGTTTAGACAATTGTTGGGAAAATTGAATTTGAGCCATAAGAGTGACGCTGGTAAACCGGAGCTGTGTGCTTTGTTTGGGGTATAAAAAATAAAGGAAGGAGAGAAAGCAGGATCTTCTCTTGAGCTGTCAGAGAGAGATCCTGTAGGTCCGCCATGAACTAAAGTAATATAGGAAATAGGTTACATTATAATCCACCTTGCACCAGAAGCAAAATCTTAAAGGAAATATTAAATTGATATCTGTTGGAGTTTGGTTTCAGTTATATTTTCCATACCAAACTTGTTATGTTGAACATTTTACTGATTATTAAGCTTGTAATCCATACTTATTTTGTATCGTCCTGTAAATAAATTATTGTAAAACTTTTATTCAATCTCGATGGCAATTTTCTGATTTTATATTTCCATGAGGGAAAATCCACCACATAAATACACGACACTGCATCCTTGGATGAAGAAGTGTGATGTTGAGACTGCAGCCTGCAGACGCGGTAAATTATGGGTGGAGTCTTTACTGAAGTCCCTTTAAAATATAAATGAGCCTCCTGTTTTTTTCCACACATACCTGGACAAGACACTGCCTGCTGATCTCACAGACATTCACAGGAGCAAGCTAAGTAAGTCCGATATGGTGCAGATGAATGTTTGATTTGAATGATAGAGAATAGAAAACTCCTGTGGCTCTTCGATCTATAGATATAGTTTATATGAAACTATGTTCCAAATCTCTCTTGCAGATTGCTCATTGCATTTTCAATCTGTCGGGTTTCAGGTCCTATAGATGTTACTAATCCTGCGGAGGGTTCGAGTTAATCTGAGCTTCGTGGGGGTCTGTAATATACTAACTAACGTTGCCGGCGGGGATGAATAAATAAATAATAACGAGAGAGAGAGAAAGAGAGAAATCATTGCTTATTACGTGATTCAACATTTCCCTCTCTCACGCACACAAAAACGCACACATCATTCTACTATTAGCCCCTAGGGTATTGTTAAATAAGTTTTCTGTTCTCTCCCTGTGAACATGACAAAAGAGGAGGGAAGACTAAATCATGCCTACATGTGCTTCCTCAACAGGGATGATTTTACATGAGAAAAGTTGATCTACAGGGGAAACAGAACTGAAAGCCTGAAACTGCACTGACTTAGATTCTATTAAGTTTATATTTTGTTTATATTTTGTATATATTTTGAAATGACAGGTGCTACCTGAATTTTGTGTTTCTTTTTACATAAAGATTTCCACCATTAATTGGTGCAGAAACTTTCACCAAAATGTAGGAAATGACCTGTTAGGTCTAAACCGTGTGCACCATAGTGGCTGATGGTGGAGCCTGACTGTGCAGCCATCAGCACGTCAGTCAAGCGCTGCACAGTAGTAATAATGGTTGTGGATAAATGAATTAGTGACCCCCACAGATGCATGATTTTACTGCTTCCAAGGGAGCTCAGACCCTCCTTAAGGAGCAGAGCTCCCACTGGGTCCCACGTAACTGGACCCTGATGCTGCGTCGTGTTTATGTCCTTCCTGTCAGTAACTGTCTCTGCAGTCTGTCTGTTTTTATCTCCTCACCTCCGCAGCTTGATGGTGAGTCTGTTTCTGCTCTGTGAGGTTCATTTTCAACTAAATAAGAAAACTCTGGATTTGCAGAAAAAAAACAGCATAAATTCCAAATGAATAGGCCACAGCTGTGGCTGTCTTCCATAAAGCCTATTTTGTAGTTGGTTGTGGACTTTTTTAACAGAAGACATAAGGATTGTATGTTATTTTCTGCTCCATTAACATTTTAGTTGAGGTGACGTCACACCACTCACGGTAACACGACACCAAATCAACTCTGATTTCTGTGGAACTGACTGGATCTGTGCCATCAAACCAGTCAAACTAACTGAAGTTATGAGGAAACATTCATGACTCACCTTACATAAGACAGCAAAGAACTATTTTTTTTGTCTTAGTTATGTAACAATGGGATATCAATTCTTACAAATCTTAACCTAAATCTAATCCAACTTTTTTCTCCTCACGGTCTGCTTGTTGTACTCGCCCTGGCTCTGGAAATGACAAACTAACAAAGACACCGTTTCAGCCATGTTGTGTGTCAGTAACGTTTAATTACTTGCCCACAGACATTCAGCTTCCTTTCTAGTTCACCAAGACACGCTGTTGTTGTGGTGTTAGCTGTGATTGTTGCTGTTTGGAGCTGCTGTGCTCCTCTGGAAAGTCTCGTGTTGCTAGACATAAAGCCCCTACTGGGGCACAGGCCCCCATATATTTTTGAAACTGTAATGTGAAATGTGTTAGTATTTGCTTTACCAGCTTCCTTTGCGTATCCCATTATTATTGGCACTGCCATGTCAGAAAGGGCTTTGAACCTGTCATAAGCACACATACCTACGTCAGCTCCAGAGCCGGTCCTGACCTCCCTGGGACCCAAGAAAAATTCTGCTATTGCAAATTTTGCCATTGCTGCACAGTGACACCTGACACAGCAGTACTCTCACTGCAATCCTCCCACCTTTAAAACACTGTGTGTTTCTGAAATATGTCTGAATAGAAAGCTCTTCTAGAAAAATCCAGTGCTGGTTTGAACGGACCTCTGCGCACTAACGCTGTCCTCATAAAGTCTTTTAAGACTGGGGCCAATCTACTGCTCCATTAGGGTCTGAGCTGCTTGTACCTGATGCTGGCTGTACATCTGTGGTTGTGCTATAGGCTACTGGCTGAGGCTACCTGTATTTCACCTGGGTCTGTAGGACCTGCTAAAGAGGTCTGGCTGATGATCCAGCATCTACTGACAAACTTCAGCATGGCACCTGTAATTTATAAATAACAGTACTTGCTAGATATTGATATTATCAGCTCCATCTGGGCCACTCCTTTAATATATTTTCAAATTTAAAAGACTATATGAATTGACTGGATATGTGATGTTTATTATTTACTGAGAGATGTGCATCTGTTGTCTGACCTGCTAATCAACATTTTAATAATCAATAGTCAATGTGAATCCACAGCTTTCCATCTTGCATTAGTACAGAGTTGTATCTGATTAGAGCAAAGTGTGGAAAATAAATACATTATTTTGTGTTGTAGACATTTACATTCACATTTACTCATCTGGCAGACGCTTTTATCCAAAGTGACTTACATTTGAGGAACAACATACAAGCATCAACAGAGCATCAACTACAGATCTACAACTGACAAAACATACTAGTAAGAGCTCAAAGTTCACATCATATCAATGGGGTAGATACCGAGGGAAGGAAGTAAGAGTTAACAGAAAGTGCAATCAATACAAGATAATTGTAGGGGATAGAAGAAGAAGAGCACAGGAAGTGCATGTTAGAGGAGTTAGAGGTGTTATAAGAGGAAGTGTTCTCTGGAAGAGATGAGTTTGCAAGGGCTTCTTGAAGTCAGAGAGGGACGCCCCTGCTCTGATGGCGTGTGGTAGCTCGTTCCACCATCGTGGCGTCACAGATGAGAACAGCCGGGACTGGGATCGCTTTGTGTGAAGGGATGGCAGAGCCAGGCGGCGTTCGTTGGAGGAGCGTAGCGGCCGAGAAGGAACGTAAGTTTGTATTATGGAGTTTAGGTAGATGGTGCAGACCCAGTAGTCACTCTGAATGCAGCATTAGTGACTTGAATTTGATTCTGGAGGCCACGGGGAGCCAGTGGAGGTCACTGAGTAATGGAGTGACATGAATCTTTTTGGGCTGATCAAAAACATTCTGAAACATTTGTAAGGGTTTCACCGCACAAGCTGGGAGACCTGCTAGGAGGACATTGCAATAGTCGAGGCGAGAGATAACCATGGCCTGTACCAGAAGCTGGGTGGCGTACTGAGTGAGGTAGGGCCTGATTTTCCTGATGTTGTATAGAGCAAAGCAGCATGACTGAGAGACAGCAGCAACATGGTCTGAAAAGGACAGCTGGTCATCAATCATGACACCTAAACTTGTCTGAGAGTCAGATGATCACTGTCTTGTTTTAAAATGATGGGTTGCTATGAGGAGTGCGATCACACCTGTGTCTTGTCTGAACTGGTCCCACTTTTGTTGCTGCTGGAATGCACGGGTTTAATTTCATGCATGTTAACGCAAGTTCACGTGCGCCACAGTTATATTTTCTGAGGTGCAGTTAATAAACTCTGTGGCCAGTCAGCGGGTATCAAACGTAATAAAAAGTTGTTTTTCACTCTAACATTGTTCAGACACAAATTTTGGCAAGCAACCACAGACAGAGCAAGATGCACTTCCCAGCTGGGTTAACAGGACAGACAGACAGATTCAGTGCAGCGAACACATTAACTTACTGTTATCTGCTGACATCCGACTCTGAGAGGAGAGAACACAAGTTTACCTGACTGCTGTTTCCAAAAATTCTTTTGCCCAGAAGAATAGTCCTTCGTCACCCTCTCATCAACGTTATAGACACTCGCTTTCACCTTTACACCTCGTTTTTTTCATTTTATTTTGGAAGCGTAACCAGACGTTACATTTTATTATTATTATTATTTTCTTTTCTTTGCAAAACACTTTTTACTCACCCCTGCTACCTGCATGTGCTAATCCATTCTTTCACCCATATTCTTTGTCTTTATAATTGCTGTCTTTATAATAACAAACAACAGCTGTTTCGTGTGTAGGTTCGCGTCATTTCACGTGTGTTTTCTTGACAAAACGTGGTTTGGAGACCAGAGACTTTGCTAGTATTTCTTTGCTGCCCTCTGGCCAGACTGAAGCCCCTTTAGTGATTAGTTGATGCTTCATAGTCCTCAAACCAAGAGCCTTTGCTGTTAGAGCAGCAATGTCAACCTAAAATAAAAACAAATGAAAGCTAGAATAGATAGATAGAATGATAGAATATAAGAATGTTATACTGCTCGTGTTATTTTGTTTGTTGTTCTGTTTACTATCTGTAGTAAATGGGCGTGTAAATAGATCTGAGTTACCTGGAACTGACTTGGTTTCTGTCAGATACCTCTGGAGAGAAGTTATGAGGAAACAACAATCAATTATCATTCCTGGAAGAAGGGATGGGGGGGCGAAAGAAGAACATTTTAAAGAGAAAAACACGATGGGGGAGTCCTTCCTGTTGTCTGGGACAGGCACATTTCAGTACTAGTAACTATAACTAGTACTATAATTTGTGCTACTACTAGACAGTCAGATAGTATACATACAATCATCAGTGAGCTATTTAATTGAAGTCAGAGAGAATATTACTCATTGTAAGTAAACAAACCTCAAAACACTAACACCTGCATGCTGATTTTACTATAGATATACAGAACAGCTGCATTCCAGCTGTTGGGATGATTCATGTGATAACCTGACTGACTGGATTCTCTAGAACTGACTTTTCACACCTTCAGACCGGTCAGACTGCATCCTCAGATAGATAGATAGATAGAACACAATGATTAGATATAGTTTATATGAACCCTTATCTTTCTCATATGTATTTTTAATGCCACGACACTGCGACTCCACACTGGTCAAACTATAAAAAAGAAAGCAGAGTGTAAATGTAAAAAAAACCCTTCTGTGAGGAGAAGCTTGATCTAAAATCCATCCATCCATCGTCAACCGCTTATCCTGCGTACAGGGTCGTGGGGGGCTGGAGCCAATCCCATCGCCATCGGGCGAAAGGCGGGGTACAACCTGGACAGGTCACCAGTCCATCACAGGGCTACACATAGACAAACAACCACTCACACTGACACTCACACCTAAGGACAGTTTAGGTTCACTAATTAACCTAGTCCGCATGTCTTTGGACGGTGGGAGGAAGCCGGAGCACCTGGAGAGAACCCACGCAGACATGGGGAGAACATGCAAACTCCAAACAAAAAGGCTGGGGCAACCAGGGTTGCTAAAACCCCAGAACTCAGAAATGCGAGACAACCTTTTTTCCCGCAGACAATAATATTATTCTTTAAAATTGTTGTTAAAAGCAACAATAATGTCATTTGGACAGCGGCTGTGCAACTCCCAGCCTTGGATCCATTCTCTAACAGAACTGAAATCCTGTTCTACCATCTGATGACAGTTATCCACCTGTTCTTGGTTGACTATTTATGTATTTGCCTTTTATGTTTGTCCACGAAAGTCTTTTGTTTCTCAGTCTTAATAGATTTATGCTAATACAAATCCGATTTTACCAGGGAGTCAGGATGACTGAAGCGGAACTTTTGAACACGCTGAAAGATTTGGAAAGCGAGGAGTTCAAGGACTTCAAGTGGTATCTGCAGAAGGATGACAGCCTCGAAGGCCGAACAGCCATCTCAAAGGGCAAGCTGGAGAAGGCAGAGCAACGGGACACCGTGGATCTGATGGTGCAGACCTACACTCTTACTGAAGCTGTGGAGGTGACCAAAATCCTTTTAATGAAGATCAAAAGGAATGATCTGGTCCAGCGTTTGTCGCCCAGCAGCTCGGCACCAAAAGGTCAGTCAAAGGAAGAGAAGCACAAACATAAAAAACATGATGTCACACATCTAGGAAATGCAATTGAATAGAACAGTGTAGAGGTGGAGAGGAGTAAACATCAGGACATCTGTCTGATTTTAAAGTTCCCATTAAATGGAAAGCAGAGCGCTATTTGCTTCCGCATATTTATGTGTTTCCTTTAAATTTACAAAGCTGGGGATGGACTTGTTTACAGTAGCTGAAAACTTACCTACACCTACACCAACACTCCCCCAGTGTCTAATATGACCACTAGCTGCAACTGAGCTAACTAGATAATGGCAGCTACTTAGCAGCAGTTAGCACTTTAGCACTAAGTAAAGTTATCTGTCCATCAGAAAACATAAATCACTCAGAGTTAAGTCAGAGCAGCCGGTGGACATTAAAAGGATACAAGAAAATATTTTCCAGTTCAGTCATGTTTTTGCACAGGCAGATATCACTAAGGTCCGGCCAGCGCACAGAAACACTCCGCAGATTTATTTTAGCAGCTTCGGCAGCGTCGTTTCATTGTACGCAACATTTATACACTCCCCCAGGTGCAGGATCATCATCAAGATATTTTTATTGTTTTCCAGGAAATGAAAAACAAACAAATTGTTGTGCCAGATATATATAGTGCAGACATATCATATAAAATAAACTTAAAACACTTGGGGACTTTAAGAAAGTACAACACATTATATGTGAGGGACAAAGAGGTCAGACAAATGTGATGGTCTGAGAAAATCTAATGATTTGTGTTTTTCTGGCCTCCAGCAAAGTCAAGAAAGAAGGTGAACAAATCACAGGGTCCAAAAAGGGGACTGGACACTGACAGGTCAGAATTCTGACGTACAACAGATGAACATTTACACACTGAATGGAAAACTCAGTCGTGTGTGTGTGTGTGTGTCTCTATGCTGTCATGCAGTCCAGTCACAGTGGAGGGCGGCACTTCTCTGGCTTTGGAGCCGACATCAAGCCCCTCAGATGTGAGAGAGCGAGACCTCAGCAACAGTAACCTTGGTGACCCAGGAGTGAAGATGCTGCCTGCAGCACTTGTGGATCCACGCTGTGGACCGGACCCTCTCAGGTATGACCAGACAATGAGAGCTCAAACACTGTTGCTTTGTTACACTGACACACTGAGGACAACCCGTTCTCACTCTCCGACTCATAACATAAGGACGCATGGTCAAGACCCATCGGTGTAAGTTTGTAAGCATAGGTTCAACGCAGTGGGGGAAGCCCTGTAGCGTTAGTTTTTGACAGTAAAGGTAGGTATATGATATTTAACAGGAAAGACTGAGTAAGGAGGTGGTTGGGGTGGAAGGAGGGCCAGAACCCGGACTTTGAACCAGGAGACTGGGGTTCGTGCCATGTGTGAAACAAAAAACATGATTTTTTCATTGTATGTATGTTGTATGTTGTATTTCTGTTAACTCATTATCGATTTTGCTGATTTGTTTGTGTGGATAAAGCACTCGATCTAAGGGTGTAATCAATCAATCCCAGCTTGAAGGCCTGGTCCGATAAAAAAAAAAAAAGTTTTTGAAGTCTAAAGTCTGTAGCAGTGATGTTCTCATTCGTGTGATACCATTAGTGAGTTAGCAAGTTTGACGTGTTGCCAGAAACAAACCAGATCACAACTGAGAAATGTCGGTCCACTGCTTTCGTTTTACCAACTTGTCTTTGTCCATTGTTGTTTCACTAGGAAACTGAAGTGTTCTCTCTTTGTAACAGAAGACGTTAATAATAAGGGAGGGTCTTCAAGTTCTGGCTTCTCTCCACTGGCCATGAAGCTGAAGTCGCTAGCTAGCGAGAGGCTAAAGTGTGCTGTTTGTGTAGCGCTGAAAGTTCAAGGCGGAAATTTGGTCCGCCGCTTAATATGTCTGCGTGGAAACTCGTTCCCAAAGTCCTGAACCGAAACGGTCCGGTACAAATACATGTAGTTACACCCCTAGCTCGATTGGTGACTCAGGGACTGAACAGGGTTTTTAGATTTTTTTTACACACATTAAACTATGCATAGGAAGTCTCAGTGTGTAGCTCACCAGGTACAGTGTTCTTTGTTTTCATTGCATTTTGCTTGTGAAGTGGAATATCAGCTTCTCATCAGTCTCACAGTTCAGAAGAAAGATGTCTCATTTCTGTAATAATGTGTTCTTGCATTCATTCTCCTCACCTGTTCAGTGGGAGAAATTCAGATTCAATGAACATGGTTTTATTTAACTGAGATGTCGCTGTTTCTTCCTTCAGAGTGGAACGTGGTGAAGGGATGAGATCTGGTCTGAGCAAGTGTAAGTGTGTCTTCACTGTTATTCATGAAAGTTGTCTAAATTAAAAACGTGTGCGTCTGCATTCAGTTCTCAGTTTGTTTAATTAACTAATTAACAGTCAGTCTGTTAATAAAGCAACAAATAAACCCATCTGTGTCTTGTTCTCTCCTTCAGTTTCCTCAGATGAAGTCAGTCTGGAATCAAGCTCAGTAAACATGTCTTCCAATTCGTCCGTCAGGAAGAGGAAGATGGCATCAATGAATCAGTCATATGGTGAAACAGGCACATTTGGCTTCTTCTCTAAGCTGTGGCGTAGATAGTGAAAGGCTGAGTCAGTATGAGTTGTTTGTATAGACAGGTTTCCTGTTTAGTGAAAAACCTTTTTATTATATTCACAACACTGGCATAATGATAAATCCTGTAAAAAAATCCTATTGTTTCCTCAGATTATACCAGACACTCCCCCACATTGTTAAGCTCCAGAGCAGAATTCTGGCGCTAACAGCTAATTCTATCAATCATTACCTGTTGACTTTTGGACTGTATAAAGATTTCAAGCGCCTGTTAGCTTAGCCATGCACCTCTGTGAGGAATCAACTTCCCTCCTTCTCCGTGTTACACTTAAGGATGGCAGCACACGAGATGATACTGACATCAAATGTGATGAAAATGCTGTTTTTCTTTAATGTGCAATATGATGTTTGTGAATGTTGTGTGAATATGCTTTTACAGGTATAATGCATTGTAGGCTATACTGTCTGGAGAAATCAATGAATATGAATATAAATATTAACTAGGCTTCATCTCGCGCTCTTTTTTCAGAGTTTGCTGCTGTTGCTAAAGTTAGCTCAATCTAGACAAGCTAATATCAAGTAACAGCATCGAGTAGCAGAGGGGAAGGGGGAAGTGCTGACTGCTCCTTGGCTTTTCACTTGTCTGATACAGCCCATCATGTATTATGAAAAGGTTTTTTGTCAATGAGTTATTTGTTTAGAAATGTATTTGGTTACTGTGTTAATGAAAATGTTTTTTAAGAGTTTTTTTTATCTGTTGAGATGATTAGACATTTGCCTCTACGGTTTTGATCAAACCTTTCGATAAATGAGTTTTAACATGAATTTCTACTCCGAGTTTTGGTTTACTGTTACATTGTGATGTTGTATTCTTATACTTCACTGTTTATTTGTCACATATTTTGCAAGACTGTTAAAGCTTTATATACAAATGCAAACACACATATTGTCAGTATTGAAGATGTTTTGTTGTTGGGTTGAGGGGATTTAATGTAGCAGCTGCTAAGAGACCACACATAAGTGAAAGTGCAGGATGTGTACATGGAAAACAATATCTGGCAACAAACTTATTTTTTTCAGAAAGACTGATGAAAGAAATGCTGAAAGAGAGTTACGGAAGCTTGTGGATCAGAGACAGGAAATCACAGTTGAGGCTGAAAATCACTGTGTGTCGACTACAAACCTTATTTTCATGTAAGATGTATTCACATGATTCATATCTGAATAGTGATGAAGGAAAGATGTTCCCTGTTTCTTCATCCAGGGTCGAAGATGATGGAGAGTAGAGGAAGTGTAAGTGTTTGTTCACTGTGATTCATGAAAACAGGCAGCACATGTTAAAGTAGTTTAACTCAAAAGCTAGTGTATCTGCATTCAAGTCTCAGTTTGAAACAAGTTCCAAAAAGATGAGTAACCCTGAAAGTTTGGTCAGTGTGCGAACCACACCATGGCTTTTGGCGGAGCTCACTTTTTAAAGGATGTTGGGCCGAAATGTGCCAAAGGGGGTTCTTTAAGAGCCACAAAAAATGAGCGAAGAGATCAGTTTTCCCGCCACCTATAGCGGGCCATTAACGGCAGAAACTCTCTCTCACTCACGTGAGGTGACTGAGCAGACTGAGTGGGTCCAAGAGAGTTTGTTGAAGTGAGTGAAGTTTATGATATTACACCAGGCTTCCACAGTGACAAGATTAGCATGCATGCTGATATCTTTATTAAAATGAATTGGGGATGAATCACCCTCATGTATTAATGATATATCAATAGCTTAATTTTACAGCTTATCCATGATGATGAAGATACAGAAAAATAGAAATCCATGGCAAAAATAACATATTCTCAATAGAGAGTAAAACATTTTAAAAAACATGGTTTCAGGGGAGCTCATACACTATATTGCCAAAAGGTTTGGGATGCCTGCCTTTACATGAAGCTTAAGCACATCCCATTCTTAATCCATAGGGTTTAATATGAAGTTGGCCCACAATTTACAGCTATATGAGGTTCACCTCTTCTGGGAAGAGTTCATGGGAAGTTTTGACCTTTCTACTAGAAGCACATTTGTGAGGTCAGGCCAGGGCTGGACTGGTAATCAGAATCAGAATAAGAATCGGCTTTATTGCCAGGTATGTGTACACATAGGAGGAATTTGACTCAGGATTGTACATTGCTCACGATGTGCTTACTCATACAAAAATACAATAACACAATAATAAAATAAAATCAGACACAGGCTACAGTGTAGATAACACTAATATACACACTATGAACAAAGACAATGTAGACATATTGACAAATAGTGCAGTGATCAGAGTGCAAAGGATGCAGGAGTAATTATTATTATCATTGTTATGTACATGTCACAGGTGGATGTGTGTACAGGTAGACATACACATATACATGTACACCGTGCAATGGAGCATAGTAGTAAGTAAGTAAAAGTATTTTGTACAGGAGTTTTGACTTGAGGTAGGTGGATTGGTATATAGTATATACAACATGACAATATAACAGTATGAACAGCTCTGAAATAGAGAATGGTGAATAAATAATGAGTGTTACCCAGTAAACAGGTGCTGATTAGAAACAGAGTTACTGGGTTATTGCACAGGAATTGTTCCTGACACTGTGAGTCAGAAATCAGCTGTTCATCAGAGTGATGGCTTGTGGGAAGAAACTGCTCCTGTGTCTGTTGGTTTTGGCGCACAGTGCTCTGTAGCGCCTACCAGAGGAGAGGAGCTGGTGTATCCGGGGTGAGATGGATCTGCAGTGATGTTTCCTGCCCGTTTCCTGACTCTGGAAATGTAAAAGTCCTGAATGGAGGGCAGGTTGGCACTGATAATTTTTTCTGACGTGCAGAGGACAGACTGGATGATGGCTGTGTAGAAGTGGATCAGCAGCTCCTTAGGCAGGTTGAGCTTCCTGAGCTGACACAGGAAGTACGTCCTCTGCTGGGCCTTCTTGATGATGGTGTCAGTGTTGGGCTCCCACTTCAGGTCCTGGGATTTAGTGGAACCCAGAAACCTGAAGGATTCCACAGCAGACACAGGGCTGAGTATGGTGATGGGGGGCAGAGTGGGGGGACTCCTCCTGAAGTCCACAATCATCTCCACAGTGTTGAGCTCCTGGTTGTCCTGACCGCACCAGAGAGCCAGCTGATCAACCTCCCGTCTGTAGGCCGACTCGTCACCGTCCCGGATGAGGCCGATGACCGTTGAGTTGTCAGCGAACTTCAGGAGTTTGACAGACGGGTCTCCTGAGGTGCAGTTGTTGGTGTAGAGGGAGAAGAGCAGTGGGAGAGCACACACTTTTGCCTCTGGAGGAGGTGGCTCACGTCCTCTTCACAGATCTTGAATGCAGATGAGGGGTCAGAGAGGGAATGGCAGCGTGTCATGGGGGGAAGGTGGTTGTTTGAAGATGGTGTTGGAGTGGGGAAGAGGTGTGACAATGGGCCTATCAAACCTACAATAACAGCTCGTCTGCCAGTTGTTGAGTATTCTGTTTTTTGGCTTTTCCCTCTCCTTTATTGAGTTATATATCTTTTTGTGGATGTAACAGGTTTGCAAAGTGAAAAAGCCCAAAGGGAGTTCCCATCTCCCACAGAAAGCTCCGCTCTGAACCACTTGAAAACAGCTCGTTTGTAGTGCAGCACTTCACCTCCTTTACTTGTGACGTCACAATGCAACATCACCTTAACTGTCTGTACCTCTGTGTGTGTATTGTTTAGGCTGCGTCCCTCTCTCTCTCTCTCTCTCTCTCTCTCTCTCTCTCCCTCTCTCTCCTTCACCCCCAACCGGTCGAGGCAGATGGCCGCCCACCCTGAGCCATGGTTCTGCTCGAGGTTTCTGCCTCTTAAAGGAAGTGAAGTAAAGGAACTGTTGGGCTTCTGTAAATAACATCACAGAGTACGGTCTAGACCTGCTCTTTATGAAAAGCGCTCTGAGATAACTGTTGTGATTTGGTGCTATATAAATAAAATTGAATTGAATTGAATAGCAAGGGTAAAATTTGCAACATGTTAACTTACACATAGAAGATTGATCCCGATGAGTTTTGCGGTATTAGTTTTACACATTTTAAATATGGGGAAGAGAGACAGCATTGGCATTTGATCACTACATGCATCACCACCAGTACCGTGAGTTGGGATATCAGACCACTACAGAACCAGGAGACAAAAAGTTGAATCGGTTCATCCCTACATACTATATAACAAATGTAATGAAAATTAAGAATTAACCCTAGAGTTTGGATTATCAATGGCAATCCGTTTTCCTCTTTGTATCGTCTCTGAAAAATGCTATGGAAGGGGACACTAGAAAAAAAAATAGAAACAGCATGGTCTCAAAAAAGAGGTCGCAGCAGTGATGAGACTTTTTACTAAAACCTTATTGTCAAGGGCAAACTAGCCACTATGGTTGAATGCAAGAACTTCAATGAAACAGTGTAAGACTGCTGAACATCCTGTTCTGGCTAGTCAAGAACCCCGTGGTAAATCTGGGCATTACTTTAAAAAAAATAAAAAGTCATGTAATAGATATTGTTACAGACTTTTGTTGTTGAAGCTGCTGGTTCCTGTTGAGCTTTGGAACGTGCAATGAATGTTATTTGCACAGATCACGGTTGAACCAAAATAAAGACACTGATTTTTTTTATTCTTTTACCTATAGGAGATTTAGTATGACCTTCTGTTTTATTTTCATCAAGAGAAAACTACTGTCCTGTTATCTCAACAAAGTAGCTAACTAGCATTTTAATACTTCATCTTATTCACAGGGATAATGCAGGTTGCACACTAATTAGCAAAAGGCAGCTGGTTCTCAGTAGAAGGATCAAACTTTAGCTCTTGAAGTTTACAGTTAATAAAGTTGTAAACTATAATCTTTTATAATTCTAGCTTTTTTTTACTAAGGGGAAAGAGTAGGCCTGTTAGTGGTCAATTTCATTTCACAATATTTGGGAACAGAATTATTTCAAAGGTTTAGTAAAAGTTGATAAACATATTTTAGTGATTACTTACAAAAATAATAATAAAAAAAGGATCTTGCTGCTGAGCATTTTAGTCCTAATGTATAATTATGAAGAGCAAATACAAAATAGATAGATGTAATAGATAGAAAAGATGAAGGCCCTTTAAAAAGGCCTACTTCACCATTCCACAAAGGTCATAAAAATGACCAACCACAACAGACAAACCTGAATTCCCCTAAGAGAAAGTTTAAATGAGTGCACTAGTGTAATAAGACATTTTATATAATTGAACCCTGGATAAAGTACCTTTTGCTGCTAATACTGCAATCTTTGATATTTGTGCATGCATCCAAGTTATTTCTGAATAACAGGTAAAACTGTAAATTCTCAATAAAGTGGCCCTGAATATTTTTGTAATATTCGTATCACAGAGAAATATTTAAATATTACTGACGATGTTAAAAATTTCCATTTTGAAAGAAACAAAAAGTCTTTAAGAGATACAAACACTCATTAGCTGAAATAAATTCAGGGAAAGACAGTTCCACCGCATGGAGGTCCCCTCTTTGGTAGGTAGATACTGCTCAAGGATCCAAGTGCCCTCTTGGCAATTTCTTGACGAAAATGTTCTGGTTTTATTTTCACAGACTCCCATCATTGGCCTATGGTAACCCCTCGCACATTCCTCAATTCACCCTGGACAGCCTATGCTACACCAGAAAGAGAGAGGACAGAGAAGAAGAGACACACACTCTAAAAGGTTTAAAGTTTTAAGACTCACAAGTTTAAGACTAGGCTACAGCTTTTCACAAGAGTGATAATGCTATATATATACATATACTATACAATGCTGTTTA